GAAGTCCAGCCCACTTAACATCATGTTCATTGTTTGCTGAAAAATCGCAGGGGCGACTTTGACCCCAAAAGGAAGTCTGTTAAACTTGTATAATCCCTTATGGGTATTGATGCATAGCAGCTTTGAACACTCCTGATCGACTGGGATTTGTAAATACGCGTCACTGAGGTCGATTTTAGAAAAGTATTTCCCTCCACTTAGTTTCGCGAATATTTCTTCAGGGCTCGAAAGGGGATAATAGTGATCCTTTAATGCATTGTTTAAACCTGTTGAGAAATCGGCACAAAACCTAATCTCCTTACTCTTCTTTTTAATGTAAACTGTTGGCGTAGCCCACTCACTGTGATCAATTTTTTCGAGGACACCCATGTTTTCGAGTCTTTCTAATTCACCGTCTATTTGTTCTATAGCGGCGTATGGAACCTTTCTTTTCTTTTTGAACACTGGCTGTTCATTTTCTTTGACTTCAAATTTTGCTACCGCTTTTGTACACATTCCAAGACCGCCTGTAAATACGTCTGGAAAATTCTCTTTTAACTCCCTCTTAAGTTTTCCTGCCTCCACATTCGAATCCTCAACTTTTTGACAAAAAGAGCTTAAAGGCAGATCCCATAGTCTAAATTTTTCAAACAGATCCATTCCAAAGAGGTTATTTGATTTTCGCATGACAAAAATTTTCGCTTTTTCGGTCTTATTCTGAAAAGAAATATTCGTCAATAATTCTCCTTCGAAGGAGATTTTTTCACCACTGACGCTTCTCGCCGTTTTATGTGATTTAATCATAGTGGGTCTCCCAAGCTTCTTCCATGTCTGTATATTAATGATGGAAATATCAGACCCACTATCAAGCTGTAGTCTTACTTTCTTTTTAAACATTTTGACCTGTACAGATTTCCGGATATTTCGTTCCTCAGGTTCAATTTTCGTTAGTTTAATGGATGTCTTCTTTCTACCAGATGTTTACCTACAATGCGATGCCTTATGCCCCTTCTGGTAGCAGTTGTCACATTGTTTGAATTTGTAGGGACACTCATTGTACCAATGTTTATCTCCACGCCTCCAACACGGTCCAGGTGGATCTTTTCCCAGTTTTTTCCTCTGGTTATTTTTTTAAGTTAAATTTTTCTTCTGATGGACCTTTTTAATATGCGACACTGCCTTTTCCTCTATGTCACGACTGTCCTGTTTCAACGCAACAAACCGTTCATAGTCTTCCGCTAAGCTTTGTAGTTTTAAATTCGGCTCATTTTCGAGTTTATTTAAAACACGACGCCTGATCTCAGCGTCTTTACCTAAAACCAGCCTTGCACAAATATTAAACATTTAAAATTATCTGATGATAATTCCTCCAGTTTAAAGTCGTCGCAATGCTTGTTTACAATACTTGCATAAGTAGTGTAATCATCTTCCTCTCTTCTAGTGACATTCATACACTTATATCGCCTGTGAAAAAGAGAAGTTTTTGTAGAAAACAGTTCTGTTAGTAGAGTAACTGTCTCTTGAAAGTTCAACTCACTGGTCTTTTTTGGAAGGATAAAATTCACGAACTTTGTATGCTCGGCAGTTCCCAATTTTCTTAGCAGAAACCTAACTTTTTAGCGTTTGTCCATGTAGCGCAATCCGATACAAAAATATCCTCATATCTTCCATAGAAATGAGCAAACGTGACATCGTCTTCTCGATTATAATTGAAACTTTCAATAGCGTTCCACACAGCCGTCTGAGAGAATGCGTTATGATTCTCGCTTGCATTCGTTAACTGTGTTGCTTCCAGAAGTTTCCTCTGTTCCTCCTGTGTTTTCATAAAGATTTGTTCGACGCGTTTCTGTTGTTCCAACAACTCTTTTTTAAATTTCTCCTCACTTTCAAGTTGTCGTTGAAGTTGTTGCTTTTGCAACGCGAGACTTTGTTCCGTTTGAAATTTGAACAATTGAAGAAGAGACTCTCTTAATTCTGCGTCCATGGTACGAATTCAATTTACGCACCATACAGTTTACATTGTATTAAACAAATCAGTTTTCACAAGGCTTGCTTACTAAAATTAGTTTGCTCAACTAATACACAAACAAGAAATATGTTTTTCTCGTAAAAAACAAAAACAATCCGTCGCTTTAAGGAGTGTCGACTAACGGGAAAGTCAAAAAAAATTTTTCCAATCTCTTTGTGGTTCTGCACAAAAATGACTCGAATTTTTAACAGTCTTTGTTAAGCATAAATGACTTACGCGAATATATATTTTTCACTCCACAAATTATTTAACTTTGAAGAGGAGAAAAAAAATCTTACCATGACAAATAACTCTGGTTTCTTGTAAAGAAACAAAAAAACAGTGGACCTCTTTTTTTTTTCGAAACCCTTGGTGTCAGTATTTTCAACTATAATTGACCATATTATTCGCGTTCTCACGCTGGAGACTTTTGGTAGCAAATTTTTGGTTGTTTCTAATTTTTTTTTTACGTCGCCAAATTACTATTGTAGTAATTAATTTGCTCGTAATCCTTGCGTATCCACGTATCTGTTTGAAATGACGAAGGTGTTTTGCCGTACAAATCTTGCGAATCCTTGTATTTCAATCACTTTAGGTGATTGTCTGCAGTGATATCGTTTCGATTCCGACGTCGCCAATCTGTTGTGTCGTGGCACAAGAGTAAAAATAAGAAAATCAAGTCGAACTTGGTTTAAAGAACAAGTGTATTTAACATCACAGATACAAAGGTAGGAAACGGGTACTACTCAGCTAGGCAGTTGTAGTACTGTCGCGGCTTACACCGGGTAGGTATTACTGGCACTATATATAGTGAGAACCGGTGTAATTCCCCTGTGTTAGAGGCCGGTGCAACACTATTTAACCTATAGATTGAGGGAGAAGTGATGTTAATGCATCCCCCAATGAATTTCCTGTAAGTGAATATAACCGACTGCAATTGAAGCACTGATCTCTGATTAACATTTAGCAATTTCGTGCCGTTATCCATTAACCCACCCGCACATCAAAGCTTACAGCAACTTGTGTTCGCATGAGGTCACCCATCTAAATACTGACCATCCTCAGCGTTGTTTAACTTCAGTGATCGTACGGAGGATGCGGCTTAATCCTGAAAAATTGGAAACATAATTGAAACTCATAATCTGGTACAAACATTTGAATTGTCTCTGGTACAAACATTTGAATTGTCTCTGGTACAAACATTTGAATTGTCTAGATCAAATGATAGGGAAATAGGTCTTTAAAAATCTGATACATGAAAGCAAAATAGACATAATATATTGGAGAACAGGGTTTAAGATGAATAACAGACAGAATTTATTAAGAGCTACACGTGGCAGTAATGCTCGGCTAATTTCTGAAGGAACAAGCTACATAATAATAGTAGATATTCTTTTGCAACGTTAATTTAACTTTTTATATTTGTTTTCAATTGTTGGCATTTACACGACAATGAAACCAATACGGTCTATTTTATATTGTGTACATTTGAGTCAGATACGTGCCACTGTCGAGAGGGTATTCTTCCTACAAGGACTGGGCATCTATATATGCTTGTTTATTATAGGCGCATAACCTAGTGATTAGAATGTTTGCTTTCCGACCATGAAGAACTTACCATCATTTATTTGACAGGAAGGAGTCTACTTGATGTAATAGGTCTGCGAATGAGCTCACCACATGCAAAACTCAGTAAAAGCCATACCAATGTTTGACCCAAGTGTTCTGAGTGAAACTGATTAGACGGAATATTTGATCGATTGTTATGCGAGATCAAACTCACAAGCGAAGGAGTGTTTCAATTCACTGTCCTTGTTCCAATTGCTGATATCTCCAGATGATGCACTCTCTCGCAGATACAGCAAGATTCTGTCAGCATAGATTCAGTTTAAAGCAAATATGCGTGTGAAATACACAGAAATGTACATGTGCATGTGTAACTATAATTCTTGATATTATCGATTATGATCTTTATGATTAAATTTAAGTTTTATCACATTTTAACATTTTAATTCGGATTCTTGTCATTAGTCAATTTCACTTTACTGCAAATAACCTTGCAAAACATATGAATCCACATAATCTCACCAGATATGGGTTAAATAGTAAAACTTGTTTCTCAAAATCATTGTTACTTAAAATTTTAAAACTTATCCACTCACAAAGAACAAACTATTTCTACAACCCAAACATATAAATAACCAACCAAATACTGTTAATCTGTAAAAAGTATAAAAACAAATAAATCCGACTTTCACTGAAATTGGAATGTAATGTTACCAGATAGAAATATACTTACTCTATGAAGAACATTATCTTTACTTATAAACTCTTGCGCAAGAATTGTTATCCCAATTTTAGTAGTGGTCTTCTTACCAACAGTAAGATGTACTGCTGCCCGCAACCATAACATTTGATAGATTTAATATGCGAACATGTGAAAATATATTTAAATGATGGAAAACTAGGATGAATAAAAAGAACGTCTCATGGAAGTTTACCATTAAACACCAGAATTCCTGAAAGAGAATTTCGAGATTTGAATGAAAAATGTACAACCACAGTTGAAAAAAAAAACATTTTAAACGAATTCTGATGTAGTTAAAGAATTATTCTACACAAACTTGTCACTTAATGTGTAATTAAATTTGTTATGGTGTCATCGTGGTAACCCGCAGGATAAAAAAAGTCCATCAGTATATTTGGAGTTCTTTTTTATTCTCTTCGATAAATTATTGGTCACTTTTATTTAGTGTCATATCAATCCTTTTGCGATATTTAATGCCGAAATCTAAATATTTTTTGTTCACAAAGTTTTATTTTAATTTTGGAGTCGATAAAGTTTTAGGGATAGAAGTATTACTAATTAAGCCATTGCTGGTGTGGTGAACAGGTAGGTTCATATTTTCCCAAGGGAATTTGTGCGTTAGTGAATATAAAGAACACGTATGGACTTAGAACTCGTCTCTCATATTAATAATTTTGAGCCATTATCTGTTAGGCTATATGGAAGCCTACAACTCCTAGTATTCTCAAGCGTTCAAACATCCAGGTGCTGACAAAGCACGACGTTGCTTAATTTCGGTGATCATAAGGGAACAGGTGTTTCAACGTGATGTTTCCTTATATAGTACTGAGCAGAAAAAAATTCCTGCTAATTTTATATATATTTTATTAACAGTAGGCTAGGAACAATATAGGCTTTTGTGGAGGCTATCGGAATTTTTTTAAACTTTGGTTTAAATGTGATAAAACTTAAAGGAACATAATCGATAATGTCTGGAATGACAAATCTGACCGATGCATTTTTCTTTTTAATTATAAGTTTTACTGGTTTTTTTTACCAAGCATTTTTACTATATGAAAAATTGAAATTGGTCAGAGATTGTTGCTGATATATCGTAATATCATCTTAAATCCTTTCTTCCATGTGACATCAGGTTTGGAGGCAGAATAATCAGTCTTATGTATTATGACCTTAGGTTAATCCCTATGATTTGTCTCAAGTCTAGTTGAAAATCCAATTATACAATTGATATCACCCTGAAAAATAAAAGGACGTAATGAATTTCGGACAAAGAAAACATCAAAGTTCTATTCGCCTTCTAAAGATACGCAGAGTTGTTTTCTAGTAAAAATGATTGATATTCTGCGAGGTCTGAAAGGTTTTCATCCTGATCCAATTAACAAAGACAGACCTTATTAGAAAACGTCGGGAATGATTATTGATAAGTTGGAGGGAAATTATTCTATCGCTCTTCATAGATATTTATATTCACATAAGTGCGAATATATCTTCTGACGTATAACTGAGAACAAACGATTACATAGGGCGTTACAATAACTTGGAGCGATTTTAAATGTGAATTAAGCTTAAGCGTCTAATGATTTTTTTCTTTTGCTTTCAGATTTAACAACTTTAGTTTTTTTGCAATTTCAACCATGGAAAGATTAACAATCAAACAACGTGTTAAATTTATCGAAGCCTATTACGAAAATGGACGTTCAAACAGAAATGCCTTATGGGCACTTCGCTATTATCTTGGTCAACATAATCAAGAAACCGAGAGTGCAAGTGGAAAAATAGTTCGTAAATTCAAAGAAACTGGATCAGTGACAGATGGGAAAACACCACAGCGCGCTTGTCTACGCCGTTCAGCTGAAAACATTGGCGCAGTCCACAAGTATCTGGTCGAAAATCCAGAACTCTATACATCCCTACCCCCTACCAAAACGTAACTTATAACGGACACATCAAAATACAGACATAATGAACACGCAAACACCCCTGTCGAGTGGAAGTGAATTTATCTGTAACAATGGAAAGGTGAATTATGATTTTAGCTGTGCCTTTAAAACCCAGTAATTTTAAAAGTTACTCCAAAATTCGCTTGAGGATGAAATGGAACTAATGTCTTTAATTTAATTACAAAATTAAATTCGGACTTTCCATTTTTGAAACATGGTTAGAACTGTGTAGCGGAAAAACCATATTTTAAATCAATTTATTTATAATAATAATGCTCTGTAAATTTACATTGAGCACTATTTTGTAAAAATAAAAATATCTCTAAGAACACTGGATTATATATCTTACTGTTCTTTCTTTTTATTTATAAATACCTCTCTCTCTCTATCTCTCTCTCTCTCTCTCTATATATATATATATATATATATATATATATATATATGATGGAAATCTGTTTCTTTGAAACTAGATTACGCGTTTCGAATTCATCAGATGATAAAATGAAATAAATTAATATCCGCATGTTTGTATTTGTCTGTATACTTCAATAATAAATACAGACAAATATTTCTTCGTTTCGCTTTTGATCTGAGGAAGCCTTGTAATGTTGAATGGGCTAATTTAATTTCAGTGAAACGCTCTTCCATTTGTCATATACTTAAAGCTTTCTCTGGATTCTGTATCCTATTTACCCATAGAAGCACACGCCCACACAAACTTTCTTTCACTCTCTCTCTGTCTCTCTCTTTTTCACACATAGAGATTGATAGATTAGCTAGATATTAGTGATCCTGTTAATTTTCAACATGGCCCTTTACAAAACATTTAAAATTAACCAAATCTTATTTATTGTTTAAGCGATTTTTTTATAACATTCAAAATTAGCTTACATCATCGGACACCTGAAATATATTAGAATCATATACGTCTTTCCGCGTTATGTGGAATGCATTTATAAATGCCTTCTCATAAGTTAAAGTAGACCGACCTGCAAGTCAGCTAAGAGCAGGATAGGGAAGGGAATCCGTTTGCCAAAAGAAAAGTGGTATTAAAGAGTTCATAAGTATAATTGGTTGCCTTTTATTTCAGTGAGTTTTATCCGCATCACTAATACCGCCAAATCCGTCAGCCCTCTTTGAAATGATGGGTAGCCTCAAACAAGCGAGCAGGGATTACGTGCCATTTCTAGATATGGCTATTATCTAAATTGCACCAAGCAGAGATTGCGCAGGTTCTGATAGAAGTCAACTTTTATATAAGCAATGTCAGCTGTACTTTACTAAAAATACCAGAAATATTTTATACAATGATAGGAGTAATTAATAGGGAATAAAACAATGTCAATGCAAGAAAAGTTAATGGAAATAGAAATTTAGAGATTAAAATTGATATAATACCTACCCGTTATCCATTTATACGTGTGCTGTGATAAATTCAAATAGGATCGTATATGCTGTTATATGTATGGAGATTCAGTTACGAACAATCACATTTACACAATCAATTTGTATTTCTCTTTTTCAAAACACACACACACTCTCTCTCTCCCTCTTTCTCTCCCTACTTCCCTCCCTCCCTCACACACATATACGTAAAAACACACATACGCATGTAACTTCTATGCGAATAATCAATTTGTTTACTCCGTATAGTGTACGCAAATTGAGTTCAAATTCTCGGGGAAATACTTTGAGTCCTCTTTCCAATAATGGTCAGGAAAAAGAAGGAATTCTCAAGAGATCTGACTTGTAATTTCTCCATGCTCTGCAGCTCAAAGATAAATGGAGACAAACTTATGACAAAATGCATAACAATCTGACTATCGTGCTTTATGTCATTCTCGTAAAGTAATAATATGATATAATCCTGCGTTAACAAACACACACACACATATATATATTAAGAAATGGACAAAGTCCGACAATTTATTTATTAAAGACATTTTTATGTTTAACGTTCTTTTTTATAGATACAAGTTTCTTTTTTATAGATACAAGTAAATGCTCTGTTTATAATAAACAGTATTAAATAACATTTACCGGCCTAAATGTCCGAGAAATTTTCATAGAAAATATTCGCCCTTTGACAAGATTCGAACCTGCATCCTATACGGAACCGTCATTTGCGCTGACGTGCCTTACCGTCTCGGCCACAAAGGAGCGTTCGGTAGACAAGGTCGAATTTACTGCTTATAAACTTCAATCTTCCATGAATCTCGTACATTCATAACTGCTCTGGCGTATCAAATGTAAACAAATGACGTCATATATTAAGAAATGGACAAAGTCCGACAATTTATTTATTAAAGACATTTTTATGTTTAACGTTCTTTTTTTTATAGATACAAGTATTTAAGTAAATGCTCTGTTTATAATAAACAGTATTAAATAACATTTACCGGCCTGAATGTCCGAGAAATTTTCATACAGCAGTTATGAATGTACGAGATTCATGGAAGATTGAAGTTTATAAGCATTAAATTCGACCCGAGACGGTTAAGGCACGTCAGCGTAAATGACGGTTCCGTATAGGATGCAGGTTCGAATCCTGTCAAAGGACAAATATTTTCTATGAAAATTTCTCGGACATTTAGGCCGGTAAATGTTATTTAATACTGTTTATTATAAACAGAGCATTTACTTAAATACTTGTATTTATAAAAAAGAACGTTAAACATTAAAATGTCTTTAATAAATATGTATATATATATATATATATATATATATATATATGACTGTGTATGTGTGTACCCGAATTTAATGAGAAAGAAAATAGTATATAATTTCAAAGGATGGCACTTTCCATCGAAGAGTAAATTAAGTCAAATCTTCAACCGCAATACTCTAAAAATTAGTTATACAGTGTAACCCGGATATAAAAGAGTAGGCGGGACCGGAGAAAAAGTCGTTTATATCCGGGTTTCTCTTTTATCCGGGTTTGGCCTATTTTATATACATTAACATAGGCTCTAATTTGGGACCATAGAAAATATCTCTTATATCCGAGTTTCTCTTATATCCGGGTCTCTTATATCCGGGTTAAACTGTAACTGTTCTAGGAATATAGATAAAATTATTAAATTACACAACAATAGAATACTGAAACTTTCTACCTTGAATAGACACGACCCAAAAACAAATTATAATATACCCCAAGTAACAGACTTATCTCATTGTCGAATCCACGATTAATGTCCTTTATCAAACAGGAGCTTATCGAAATCCATTACATATATACGTTATATCTCATCAAATGAGAACCTCAGGGATATTACATTGCATGAAGGATCAACTGGAAGATCTTTAAGGATCGATATTACAATTTCATATCCTCCTTTACAAATGCAGGAAATATGACATCATTTTCAAAATACTTTTTGGGAACTGAAGGAGTAAGGAAAAACACCTAAGGTTAAATGAAAAATCCTAAATCAAGCCAGAACGTGCAAATCTTTGAACGAACCTTGTTTTATTGCTTGCAGGAAAAATATGTAATATTGAACTATTGAAAAACACCTAATTATTAAATCAAAAAATATGAAACACCGTTTATTTGTAGGCACATTAAAGATCTAATATTATGCATTTGCTAATCTTTTAAATCTATATGTCTAACCTTTAAAATTATAACTCACCTCCTTTGGTATACCTTCTACCATCTTATATACCTTTCCACTAATCTATCTAAGATTATGCTTCTTAAAATATTTTTGCGCGTATATAATACTAGTAATATTTTCATATAATTTGATTTACCTGTATACTTATTCTATATTAATATCCCATAATTTTGTATACCTTTCTACTTATATCTTAATTTCTAAACTAAAACTTATTGTTTTTTTAAAAGACGCTTGATTATGT